TTTATATACGGACGATGAATTATATAAAAACTGTCCAATTGTTCTTTTTACCCGAGTGCTTTTGGCTATACATTTAGCCATTATCAATGTTGAAATATATTAACTGTTGACAAGAAATTATTAAATAGATTGTTGTATGTCTATATTTATATAATGTTTTCAATTTCTAAACACAGTCAGGATATTGTATTCTTATTCATAGTTAATATTATTGAGTGTTTTCTTTTTTTATTAATAAGTCTTCAAATATTTTTAGCATTTTTTGCATGTAGATGATGCTATTATATTATTGTTGTCAACAAGTTTGTTACGAATAGGGCCCGGCTGGTCTTCATGAATATTTAAATGAGATCTAATTAAGCTATGGTCAGAAACGTTTAAAGTGAGTCTTCGTGTCAAAAATGTTGTAGTGTGGCCTATATAATTGTTTAAGAATTTTGATTGATCAGGAATACAATCCCTTAATGGACATTTAAATACGTAAATAATATTTGTTTTAGTTACTTTTGTTCTAAGAGATGAATTATTATTTTTAACTATAAGTTTAGAGGTTTTAATTTTTTTTCTAATAAATAATTTATCTAATTTTTTTGCTATTGTCAACTGTGTTGTGCAATTTTTTGACCTTTTTTTTGAAAATGAAAACATTGTATAAATACATACATATAAAAAATAAATAAAAGCACCTTCTCTGTCGTATTCAATGAAATGAGCATATATATATATATATATATATATATATATATATATATATATATATATGCATGCATTGTATCGTTTATAATTTTATTTTTATATTTGTAATAATAATGTACATTATTATAAAGTAATATTTATTATTATCATTACTATTATGATGTAAATGATTATATATTGAAGATGCTGTTTAAATAGACACAAGTTTAACCCCGTCTTCTCTGAACTTTATTTGAAACACTTGTAACACTGTTTTAAATTTAACGTTCCTATATTTTTCCATTCACTTAGCCATTTTATTAACTCTTGTTTCTGTTTTCTGTTCATAATGCAATCCACCAAAGAAAACTTTTCAAGATCAATTTATATTTGGTATGGTTTTATCTTGTAATATTTATTCTTCTATTTTTTAATTTTTTTTCTCTTCGTATATTTGTCTGTCTGGGATTACTTTATTCCATTTCACAAAATGTAGTCATTCTGATGAGATGAATATACTTATACTTATCGAAATAACTTTAGTACTGACTATGGATTTGAAAGGTTTTCTCCTAATTATTCTTATAATTTACTTTGTATCATACATTGAGCTCTCATATTGACTAAAATCATCCTCTTTTTAATAATACCTACCAATTAAAATTTGATATATATATATATATATATATATATATATATATATATATATATATAATATTAAACACTAAAAAAATCACATGTAAACATTTTTAGTTCAGGAATGCTATGAAAATATCTTTTCAATCTTTCAGACCTGCAAACAAAATATAAACTGAAAAATTCCCTGGATCTATATCGTCTTGGAAATTCCACACGGATTAACATTTTATTTTTTTATTTTTATATATATATATATATATATATATATATATATATATATATATATATATATATATATTATTTGTGTATTAGTTTTCTTTCAAGTTGAAATAAATAAATTACAAAGATTCTTTGAGAAATAACTTCACACAAAATATTTTGTTTATCGTGTAAAACCGAATCAATTCCGTTAATATAGAAGAAATGGGTTGCTTCTACACATGAACATGTTTGCGACACAGATTTTCGTTGTTTTATGCATGCGTATAAACTGTTACATTCGGCAGCTGAATAAGCAATGAGCTTATTTATAATAATGCTAATATCTGGTGTTGACAACTGTCTCGGTAGGTATGTTTTTTATGTGTCGATATCGCCAAAGACTTTTTATAATACATTATTCTTAAATGTATATGCAAAAATGTCAGTAATTAATTAATGTATTTATAACAAACGAACGACTCCTGGTTAAATTCAGTTGAAAATATAACTAGCGAACTAAAAATTAATCGCTTTTATAGCGTAACATCGACTCCAGAATAAAAAAAAATTTATTAATATCAAGTGTAGTAGTTAATAAATATTTGTCCGATTTTTCAATATCCATTTTAAGAAGGGAAATATTGTTGATTATATTCTGATGTGATCATTCAAAATTTTGCATCAAACACGTTTTAATTGTCTGCAAATTTTTGCCCTTTATAGTTCTTGGTATATTTTCTTTCTAACTATCGCTCATAAACTTCCTGTTCATTTACACAAGCTCGTTATGTAGGTTACGCACAGCTTTCTTCTGTCCCTTTTTAGCCTTTTCCTGTCAATATCAACATTCCTAAGCTCTCTTTCCTCATTATGCGTCCTAGAAATTTCAACTGTCTCCTGATATTAAGTTTAAATCTTCTTAATCTGCGTCAAAATTATCTAGCATTCACTTCTCAGATAGTTAACTTTCTCAAAGACACATGGAACAGTGGATAAAGACGTTAGTTAGATCCAATGACAGGACCAAATAAGTGTGAGTTCAATAACTTTTTAAGGCAGTGGAGAAATTTGAGAGGGGAATTAACAGAAGATAACTGATAACTGACACCCATTAGACATGGCAAGTGGAACAAGAAAAGTCTACCCCAGTGAGCGAAATAAAGGGTTCACTTCGACAGTCCAACCACCGGAAGAAGGCCGGAGCGTACAACGGCCGAAACGTTTTGATAAATATGGTGACAAAGATGAGGAAAATAATCCGAATAATGTAAATAGTTAACATAATACCTCATCTCAGAAATATAGACAGATACTGAAGAAGACCGGAGCGTACAACAGCCGAAACGTTTTAATAAATATGGCGACAAGGATGAGGACAATAGTCCGAATAATGTAAATAGTGTACATAATTCCTAATCTCAGAAATATAGACAGATACTGAATAAGGCCGGAGCGTACAACGGCCGAAAAGTTGTAATAAATATGGCCACAAGGATGAGGACAATAGTCCGAACAATGTAAATTGTGTACATAATACCTTATCTCAGAAATATAGACAGATGCTGAGTTAACTTTATGTAATTACAGAAATATTTCGTTAGAAGCAATAAGAAGAATGCCGAAGTATCCTGTAACACCAGTTTTACTACTGCATTGGAAGCTGGACAGTTTGCTTTTAGCTAAATTTAGGGATCGGAGGCAAATTTGATATGCTTTTTACAGGAGGATTTTTGCTGGTGTGTACGCGTTGTGAGATAAACACACGCGTGTCTCCAGAAATTGACCCACAGCCAACATGGCGGAATTGGGGAATATGAGTCCGCCAAAAGGAATGTAATGAAATATCAAAACAAATATATATGTACAGATAAATGAATATATATTAAACAAGAATCAGTTAGAAAATGACATAGACAATAATGTGCGTGTAACAAGTTAATGTAATGTTATTGTAATGTTTCAAAGTATGCGTGAGTGAATGTTCGTATGTAATTGTTTGTATGTACGTGTATTGTTCCTGTTACTCCCCGAAGGAAACGCAGAGCATTCCCCACACGAAGGGGAAGACACAAACTTCCCGAGAGATTACATTGTTGTAGATTCAGCTGAAAAAATGAGAAGAGAGATAGAACGAGACCGGATCTCACAGAGTATATATAGTATTCGAGAACGCCTCCAAGTAGCGGTTTCAAAATTTTAGGAGGAGGTAACTCCGACAGGATGTTGAGAATACCATAGACGGAGTATGTGAACATCGATTAAGTATTAATGAAAACGAAAACTAAAATAACAGTTAATATCAAAGAAGGAGATTGATAAACTATCTGGGACACATAATGAGAAAAATTAGCTTAGAGAATCTAACACTCACAAGGCGTACTGAAAGCAAGTGGATAAGAGGGTAACAGCGTATAGCACAGCAAAAGAAATCATGTGAAGTGAGGTCAGATGTGGAATAGAGGTGTAATAAATAAAAAATATTATTTAGAACTACAAGTGGTAGGAAGTTGTGGAGAGTCGTGAAATGAAACGTTCATATTAAAGATGATTAAGTCTTCATTTTCATGGTATAGTCACTTCATTTTGGCCATTTTATTATCAGGTCTTCTATGCTGAATGAATTCCAAGAGTTATTTTTAACGAAGAAACAAGATTATATCAGTGACACAGACGATAAATCGTCCTTTGAATGGAATATTATATTGTGTGTATGCAAAAGTCCCCAGCATCCTTTTTCATTTTTAAAGGGAACTGAATACAATGTAAAAAAAAAACGTTTTTTAAATGTTGAAACCCGATACAAATAACTAATTAAAATTACGATGTATTATATAACTAATTACAATATATATATATATATATATATATATATATATATATATATATATATATATATATATGGTTGCGTTAATGCAAAGCTATTCAAGAAAAATGAATTGGAGCACTCCGGCTGATTGGCATTTGTTTTCATTCGTAAAAACAATATGCTAGATTTAGTTGTTTCTCTCTGTTGAATGAAGATAGCCTTAGTGTTAGAAACTTTGACTGATCGGTTGGGTTTAGATCCGGGCTTGAACTACCCGGATGTCTAGTCGCTCTGAGGAGCTGTAATACAGCGAAACAGTATTATCTGCGAATGACACACACACACACACACACACACACACACACACACACACACACACACACACACACACACATATATATATATATATATATATATATATATATATATATATACAGTTACAAATAACAAATTAAAATTACGATATATTCAGAAGAAAAGTCAACTCATGGCCTATCTATTATTATCAGGCATAGTTACTTCCGGCACACGGCCAAATTTTAGGAACTAAAAGTAGGAAGATCGTGCTGCTACAGTTTATCAAATGGTAAGTCTTCTTTTGGGGACTTTATTGGTAAGTATTCACAACGCTAATGACAATGGTAGGTTTGTGAAAAATTCATTTATTCACTAATATCACGGCTGAGAAAAGGAAAGTAGGAGAGAAGAAGAGACTTTTGTTTGCCGGCAATATGCTCGTTCATAGGCTCAAAATCGAGCCAAAGTGCTGCAATATCAGTTCGGTAATAGATCAAAACGTGTGACGGGTTAACTCCACAGTGGTTAACTTCCATGCTCGTACATCCTGCGAAATGGAGTCTCTTCTGGGAAGAAGTGTCAACCTTACTTGTATTGATCTTTGCCTCTCGTCCGGATTATTTTGCGTAGCGCATGGATATCCCAAGTGACGCGGTAGTTTCGGTGGAATTAGTTCGGTTCCACTTGTGAAAAGATTGGAAACATTCGCCTAGCCATAGAACTTTCCAGTTGATTCCCTGTGGGGAACGTAGCATAATTCTCAAACGGACCAGCCGAAAATTTAAAGTGACATATAGGCGGAGTTGTTTAACTAGTTGCTCGTAATAGCAAAGTTTTCACTTGACCATGCTTCTTGGTTTGAAGTTTTGGCTCAAATATTTTAAAGGACGCGGAGTGTTACTTGAAAACACAGAATGTCAGAATTAATGAGATTTAGCAAGCAACTGTTACCTAAAAATTTTAATTTTAATGGCTGATATCACATAAATGAAAATTATTTTATAAAATGAACATTTTAAACTGTAAAAGAACATGATCATGTATAAGACTTCGACTGTGGTTCCCCCTGAGTCGCATTGGTCTATACTTGGAGAAATTTAAAATTTGATAATTAGTCACGAATAAAATTTAATCGCCCATTAATCGATTTTTATTTGTGTTATTTACTTTATTCGAACTGTTATACTCATCTTCATTGTCATATTCCCAACGTTTCGGGCGTTGTACGCTCCGGCCTTCTTCAGGTGATTGGAATTTCGAACCGAACCTATTGTTTCGTCCACCGGGGTAGACTCCTCTAGTTCCACGTGTCATGCCTCTTCCGGATGTCATAGTTATTTCCCTTTAACTAACTCTCGGAGTTTTTTGGCTCACAACCACTGTGGCCTGTTATTGAACTCACAGCTCTTTGGGTCTAATCACTGAATCTAACCAACATCTTTATCCAGCAGTGATGAAACAAACTCGGAGAGTTGAATTAAAGGGGAAATAGCTGAGATATTCGGAAAAGGCATGGCACATGGAATTAGAACAATCTACCCCGGTGGACGAAATAATGGGTTCGGTTCAAAAGCCAAATCACCTGAAGAAGGCCGGGGCTTACAGCGGCCGAAACTTTGTAAATATGGAAATGAAGATGAAGATAACACTCCGAATAATGCAAATAACACAAGTAATCATAATACCTCATCTCAGAGATATAGAGAGATAATCGATTTTTATTTAAACTTTTCAAAATCTGTAACTACTCTCATTACAGTAAAGTAAGGACATTCTCATAACAAAAAATCAATATTGCTTAGTCTACATTTCTTTCAAAACCAGGAAGAAATACAGAGTGTTCCTAAAGTCACCAAGAGATTTCAAAATTTAATAACTCCTTTTTTAACTTTCATCAAAAATTCTATAGAGTAGGTATGGGAAATAAATTTATTCTAGGGGGAGAAATATTACATATTTCATTTTCAGCTTCGCACGAACATGACTCTTCTAAGGTATTTTCTATCACAGCCTTCAGTGTTTCAGGCTCCAGTTCTTTGATGTTTGTCTGAATTCTGTCCTTCAGTTATTAGAGAGTCTGAGGCTTGTTGACATAAAACTTTTCTTTGGATAACAGGACTTGACAGATCCGTGGAACGTGGTGGACAGTTTATGACGTAACGGCGGAAATGATTCTTTACCCAAAGATTTGCTTAAGAAGATGGATTGAGGCTCTTGTCTTATGAACTCTTACCATATATTGTGGTACGAAAAAAGGGTGATGCATTTAGAAATTCGTTGGAATTACGTCCAATCCTGTCAAGATCGCCTTGACTGGGATCTACTTCGATACGCTCCCTTATTCGCACAAATACATTTTCATCCCTAAACCAACGTGGTATACAGCTTCTTTGAAGGTCACATGTTGAACCTTTACTCTCAAAACTTGATGGCTCTATCACATCATAATGCCGACGATATGCTCGTTGAGTTTGAATTATTTATCTTTGATTTTGGAAGGTTTTACTACTTATGTTAATTTTTAAATCCTGTATTGTAACATGAATAATTCCTAAAGCTACCTTTTAAAATAACTGTCGTATTCCTCATGAGGTTTGAAATGTTTACGTATCGGGATTCTCGTTATACATGTAATATTTCGCGGATATAATTCCATTGTTAGCTCTATACATACAGTGGATTCGGAGGTATTTCTAATAGATGATGAAAGGAAGAATCTATTGATGTGATCTTATGCTGCCGAAAGTTTCCTCATAGAGTTACCAATATCATTTAGGGAACCAGTCTTGAGTCTAAGAGAAAATTCATCTCTCTCATTATCCCAACCTTCATACAATCGTTAGTGAATATTTGGAAATGCACTTCTGCAGCGGAAATATATACATTTCTGAAATTATATTTTCCATAATATCAGAACATTTAAAAGAACATTACTCTCAAATATTCTGCAAAGCATAACCGAAAGTTCTTCACATTTTATACTGTAATGCAATTTTTAGTTAGGCCCTACATTAAATTTGGCCTTATGCCAAATCTGGCTGCGTAGATATCCTGCAGTTGGAGATTCGACTCCAGGTGAGCTGGTCAAACCCTCTGTCTCCGGTCAGTGAGGATCACCAGACGGGGCTTTGTCGAAGAGCAGAGTCTCGTCTCGGAAAACAGCTACCCGACCCGGTTTTATAGCAGGTCTACGGGGGATTTTTGGCCGAGCCTACGAGCTCGCATACCCCCACGTTAAATTCGAATTCAGCTCTCCAGTATTGTCCAGGGAAAAATCCCCATGAGAGTTTGATCCACAAGCTAGTTGATTGAGTGAACTATCTCATGTGGAAAGGAAAACGGGCGGAATATGAGGCAATAGCATTTGTATTCATTGTGGCGCCATTTACGAGGCAGAGAAAGGAAGAGAAAGAGAAGAAGGCAGAAAGAAAGGCGAGACGAATTGTAGGTGATAAGCAGCCACACACACGGCTAAGAGACAATGAAAATATTGATAAGTAACAAATGAAAAAGGGTGTCATTACAATGACAGGGAATTTCCCAGTTAAAAAGAAAGGGAAAGAAAGAAGGAATCAGATGTGTTTTGATAACGGCTGTGTTATCTAGGTGCGTAAACGAACGGCTGGACCACTGGCCAGGGAAAAATTCAAGTGAAAATGCTATTTCGATAAGTGACGAGAAACAGGCCACTAAAAAGGACTTTGGACAGATATGAAAAATTAAATGCCACACAAACAGTGCCGCTGACCGAATTTTTTTCGACGAAACAACTTTGGTCTGCGATAATAAAATTATGTTATCAGGAATATGTACCGAAGAAAAATGAATGGGGACCCAGAAGTGTTTTTCTTTCTTCCTTGGAGGCGACAGACTGACTGAAAACTTTGGGGATATTTCTTTTTTGAAGCCATGTTAAGAAGAACACCCATCTTGATAAATTAGCGATAAAATACCTGAAAAACACCACGTGTAAAACAAGAGTTGTCATATTGTCCGTTGCGACTAGAAGGGTGATAACGGCGATTGAAAGGAAGAAAAGGGAAAGAGAAGAGATTATTCTTTTTTAGTTAAGCAAGATATTTTTTTCCCGAAAGAAAGCCACGGATTGTTCACGCCCGACTAAGACATCATTGGTCAAGTGGTGATCACGTGACGCACGAAGGAGGAGGAAAGATACCCGACCAAGACCTCATTGGCCGAGTGGTGATCACGTGACGCACGAAGAAGGCTGTCGACGCCCCATCCAGAGTATAAGTATGAGAAGCTGCTACGAAGAAGTGGGGAGGGCAGTTCACGCCCCTCAGAGGTATGGTGAGAAAGTGGGAGTGAGGAAAGGTTCCCAAAAATGGAAAAGAGTGGAAAATCCCTAACCAGAAATAAAAGAGGTGGATATGTATTTAGAATTATCGAGGAACCCCCCGCCGCCAACAGACCCACCCCGGTTTTGGTCGGCGTCAATAAAAGCGAGGCCCCAACAGGCAGAAATCAGTTCGGGCTCCAGCGGAGAGTTGAGTTTCCAGAGTTGAAGCCGCCTCGAGATATCTGACCAAAATTCACGCAAATTTAGGACTCCTCTTCAACCCAAGAACAATTATTTTGAAGAGCGACTTAGAACCAGGCCACCGAAATAAGTTTTTCGACTTTCGTCGAAAGACACACCGAAACACCAATTTCTTAGAGAGCAAACAAATTGAAGCGTTAAAACTTGCCTAGCGGAAACGACGTGTCACAATCCACAGAACGGGTCGGGAGATAGATGCAGTCCTATGTATCGAACAACTAGACATAAAGTTTGTTACCTTTTTATTTGATACTTTGAACTTTTTGAGTTTTCATTTTATTTTCTTTTATGCATATTTGTGTAGTATCACCCCCGTTGAACTCAGTTGCATTACGGCCCCAACCACTGTTTGATCTCGTCTGCCTAATATCAATTCACAACGTGGGTAGGCGGACTGGAGATCAATGCAGTTACCTTGGTAACCAGGCGTTGGAAGCGAGTTGGGAACGACGATGCTGATATCAAATCTAACCAGATTCCCACCCGAATCACCAAAAGGTTAGAACGTCACATTTGGGTGCCGCGACCGATACCAAGTCAGTTGGTCGTCACAGGACGAGACAACACGACTGACGCGACAGGCGGATGTCACGTTTGGAGCAGCGACACCCGAACGGAGCACCGAGGAGCGAACAGCTGGCGCCGCGGCGAGGACGTCACAATTGGTGCTGTTTGGGAACGTCACAACTGGTGCCGTGGTAGATCAGGATAGAACGTCACAGTCGGCGCTGCGACCGTGGGACGACGTCACACATACTTGTTATGATGATAAAAGAGGTTTGGTGCAATTATAGCGTGAGGTCTACCTCAATACAGCGTGAGGTTTACCACAATATACTGTAAGGTCTACCTCAATATAGCGTGAGGTTTACCGCAATATAGTGTGAGGTCTACCTCAATATAGCGTGATATCTACTTCCGGTTACACTTGTTTATAAAATGTGAAACAAATATAAATGTCCATATCAGACCTCA